TACGCCTTTGAGCTTGGGAGACATACCTGGTTTTTGTTTACGCATGCAGGGGCATGCACAAAGGCCTTCAGAAGGCACCTTGCGAATTGTCCTTCAGTGCTCTGCATCCCCTTCCCCTTTTTATTTTAATCACAAAATGTCACACTGGCCTGGGAGTTTCTAATGTGTGTCTCTGTCTTTCCAGCTCTGGGACCACAAGTGTGGCATGACACCCTCCCCCGACCCCCCACTGTGGAGCCTTGGGACGGAACTCTGGTCTGCACGCTTGTGTGGGAAGCACTTTACTGAGCCATCTCACCAGCCCAGGTCCTGATGGTAGTAACCTAGCAACCAATCCACAGTCTCACACCTAAGCAAAATCTCAAACCCCGTTATTCAGAGCAATCGCCGGAGTCCTCAGTTCCACTTAGAGAAGGAGGTTTAAAGTAATGCTTATATTTGAGATATTTATGTACATAAATTCTAATGGGAAAACTTTACAGTCCAAGGAGATACAGGCCTCATCGTCGGACCGTGCGACGGCTGAGTCACTTGTCTGCAGGGACAGGAAGCAGAGCGATGAGCGCTGGAGCTCAGCTCACTTCCCCTTTCTGTCCAGCACAGACCAAGCCCGTGCAATGGCTCAGCACACCTTAGGGTGGACGTACTCATGTAATTAACCTAATCTAGAAATCCCTTCACCTCCGTGTCCAGAGGTTTTTTTTTTTTTTTTTTTTTTTTTTCCTTACAGTGGTTTTAATCCCATCAGGCCAACAAAGGAGATTAACCACCACAGCCTTAAGTATTCTGCCAAAAATTCACTAATTTATCCCCTCTCATGCTGATGGTCATTTCCATTACGTCCATATTGTTTTCAACCATCAACACACAGTAGGGTTATGAACAAACTCAGAACACACTGTTAAGGTTGAAAACTAAAGGCATTGCTCTAGGACAAAATTGAAATTGAAAGATACACAGATTAAATGTGGATAACAGAAAAATGAAGTTTTTGATAAAATATTAAAGTTTACTTCTCTGAACTTTTATCATGTCTTTTATCATATCAAGTGATGGGATTACTTGTAAATATCTTTTCAAAAATGTGAAGGTGTTAAGAATAAAAAAAAGAGTATTGTTTACTCTTTAGTCATGTTTTTAATTCAAGTTTTGTTTTTTTTTTCTTATTGGCCATTTGCTTCACATATGCCATTGAGAAATGTCTTTTGAAATTTTCTCAATTTCCTATTGGGTTATATATTTTATGCTGGTTTAAATGAATAGTCCTAACTGCCGAGCCATCAATCTCTCAAGCTCCATTATATGTATTTTAACAGATATATTTTTTTGAATTACTCTATGACTCTCACTACTACAGGTTCAGTTTCCAGTACACTCCCGTGGAAGCCAAGAACTGTCTATAATTCCGGATGTATATGTACAAAATAAGTAACTCAAATATGTGTGATACATTAGTCCATGCTTTGTGCACTTTATAGAGTAGGTATACTTTATCTTATAAAATACATTGTTTTCTATGTTTGGGGAATTTACATCTCAGCCAGCAAGTGAGCAGTTTATATTTGAATTTCCAAACACATGTGAGGTTTCTCCCAAGTTCTCGGGATCATTGCTTATTTGTAAATGAAGTTTACATAGGATACATTCATATGATATTGACCATGACGGCTCTATACATAAAAGTCAGAGATTATGTAATTATATTTATGATTTGAATGTTTAATGAAACACACTTATCAATTATTCTATCACGCTTTACAATTCTTTTTGCATCAATGGATTCTTTAGTTTAATGAATGTAGCCTTTTGATTTGTTTTGCTACAGAGTGTTATAAATTTTCAACGTCAATCCAACAACACATTTGTTTTTCTTATAACATGTCAAATTTACTCTTGAGGATTTATTTATAATCACCTCAAGCTTCACTGAGAAATCTTGTTTGGATTTGAGAAGGATCTTCTTAAACTTATGAACTTTTAAAATTTGACGTTTTAAAAAATTGACATCTTTTCAACATAATCCTATGAAAAGTACATATATTTGCTTATTTAAATCCTTTCAGTGTTACTCAATGGCTCTGAAAGGATTGAGCTGTCATCTTCTTTGCTTACTCTTAGGAGCTTTGTATTTCAGATTGACATGCTAAATAACTGTCTTATTTCAATGCTTCCTAGTGGATAAATGGCTCAACAGTTAATAGCACTGGCTGCTCTTGCAGAATGCCGAGGTTGAGTTTGCAGCACCCACAGGATGGCTCACAGCCATCTGAAACTCCAGTTCCAGTGAATCTGATGTTTTTCCTGACCTCTACAGGCACCAGATACATATATTGATATTCTGATATACATGATATACATGAAGACAAAACACTCACACATGAAATAAAGATATAATCTTTAATCATCCTAACGCTTATTCTTTCTCTTAGTAAAAGAAATATCATAATAACAATAATGATAGTTTTGACATTTTCTTGTACAGTGTCTCTTCCTCATTTATTATTTTATAAAATGTATGAAATAGAGGGAGTTTTGTTATATGTTATTTTTTGCTTATTATTATAGAACATAGTTGCTCTTAACAATTACTGCTTATTGTATATTGAGTAAAAACAGTCACTACTTTTGATTATTATTTATATTAAATCACATGGATATATTTTCTTTTCTTTTTTGTTTTTGAGACAGGGTTTCTCTCTGTAGCCTGGATTTGCTTTGTAGACCAAGCTGGCCTCAAACTCACAGAGATCTGCCTGCCTCTGTCTCCACAAGTGATGGGATTACAGGCGTGTGCCACTGGGCCTGGCTACATGAATATGTTTTTTAAAGTTGAATCCTTGCATTTTGATACATTATTTTCTTTTTTTGGAAGAAGCAATGTTAGTATTCTTTATTGATACAGTAACTGTTATTGATACAATAACAGTAACTTCATCACTGAGAGCTTTTCATGTGTCAGTTGCTGTTTTGTTTTACAAGGGTTAACTTATAATCCTTTAAATATGTGTGTGTGTATATATATATATATATACACACACAATTATCTCATCTATTACATCCCAACTACACTTTATTCTCCCTCCAGTCTTCCCTGTCCTTCCTTATCCCTCACTCTCATCCACTACCCCTCTGTTTTCCTTCAGAAAAGATCAGGCCTCCCAGAGTAATCAACCAAACATGGCACACCAAGTTACAATAAGACTAGACATAAACCCTTGTATCAAGGCTGGATGAGGCAACCCATTAGAAGGAAAAAAGTCCCAAGAGCAGACAAAAGAGTCAGAGATATCCCTAGTCCCAGTGTTAGAAGTCCCACAAGAACACCAAGCTAGGCAATTATAACATACATGCAGAGGACCTATCTCTGACCCATGCAGGCTCCCTGGTTGTCGCTTTAGTCTTTCTAGGCCCCTGTGAGCCCTGCTTAGTTAATTCTGTGGGCTTGTGTTCATGATGTCTTGACCCCTTTGGGCTGGGGAGACGGCTCAACTGTGAAAGACTAGGCTCACAAACAAAAACATGGTCCTAATTTTTTTTTTTTTTTTGTAATGACAATGAAGACGATGTCTTTAATATGGAAAAGATTGGATGGTAGGAGGAGTTTGAGGGGGAGAGGAAGAGGAGAGACATGTTGTAAATGTAGTACTCATGTATAAAATTCTCAAAATATATTTAAGGAAAAATTTGGAAGCTATTTAATAGCTTCTATTTTGATTGTGGATTCATTTACTTTTATTTGGATTTTAACCACATGTTATTTCATATATTCTGAAGTTATTTTTGTCAGATGCATGAGGTTTGTAATTGATATGTCTTAGTAGACATTTTATCCATAAGAAACACACACAAATTGTAATATATAATACTTTTGTCTCAGTTATTCCCATTTTTTATATTACAACTTTAAAATTTTTATACTTCTTTTGAGAATTTTATACTTTAATACCATATTTACATCATTTCCACCTATTTCTTTCTCTCCTGCAAATCTGCCCATTTCCCTTTCATTTCCTTTCATGTTCCTGATCCCTTCTTTTGTAATTATTGTTACAGACAGACACAGACACAGACAGACACACAGACAGACATATTTACAAAAGCCATTAGTATTGGTCATATCTACATGCACTTAGGACTGATCACTTGGGATTGAATATCTATCAGGGAGCTCATCCCTGGAGAAGACTGATTATCTATCTATCTATCTATCTATCTATCTATCTATCTATCTATCTTCAAACATCTATCTTCTATCTTCTAGATAGAAGCTAGATAGAAGCTCCTCATCAAAAATGGAGCCTTGTAAGATTTATGTATTTTTTTTAAGTTTGGTTTCCATTTGCTTTAAATGTTTAACTTCTAAATAATGTGAATTTTTGCCTTTATGAATAATTTGAAAATCCGTAGACTCCAAGTGCATAGTGGAGATGTTCATAGTTATTAAATCATTAACCAGTTGTCCATATTTTCTACATCTATGCATGTCCTTCCTTCTTACCTTTTGAATTATTCAAAATTTATGGTACTGCTTTCTTTCATATCATTTAGTGGTGATAACTATTTCTAAACTCATCACAAATATTCTTAAATTATGGTATCTATATTAAAATATATTTTGTATTACTACCTAGAATTATCCAATAAGATTTACCCAATTTATCATTACTCAAGTGTAATATATGTTTTAAAGTGTAATTTATATTTTAAGTCTGCAATGCATATGTTTCCATATTTCTTTCATTTCAAAAGGACTGTATAGAGATTTGCTGCTATACAATGTAGGTGATTGATTTTGGACTTTTGTCCTGTGTGTGTGTATAGGGCATACACACACATACTCTTTTAGGTGGAAAAAGAGTAACAAAGAGGACATGATTTTCAACCTGAGAAAGCTGGCCCGCTGGTGGGTGAAGGGGTGCTGGTATCCTAAAGGATGTGCGTGCAGAAGCCATTGTGACCCTGTAGGAAGAGCAGGTGCCCTCTGTCAAGTCACAGAATGTTCATGCCCAGTAAGAGTATTCAACATCTTTTCTTTTACACCAAAATGTGTCTGCCTGGTTGACTAAAAGCTTGATAGGAAATATATTCCTATTGGGTCCAAAGCTGCCTGCTAATCTTTCCTGTACTTTGCTCCTGTTGCCGGCTTTTAGAGAGCAACAGAACATATGGTAACCTTGTACTGCAGTCTTTAGATGCTTCAAAGAATGACAGAAGAAGATGCACTGTATAGAAAGGAATGCCCCTCCACACACATACGTGCACAGCAGAATGACATTCACAAGGTTCAGAGGCTGGAAAATAAACACATTTTTTTTTTTTTTTTTTTTTTTTTATAGAATGTGTGTACAAAAATCCCCTCTAACGTTTGAGATAAGTCCGTCCAATCTCCCTGTTCCCCCAAAGTATGCATGGCATGTGGTATGTATTTTCACTTGCTGAATTCATCCTTCATGCAGTCCCAGTCTATCAAAGAGGTTAAGAATTTATAAAACTCTGATGGGATATGGCTTCAATGCTTCATCACACACACCGTCATTTGCTTTCCAATCTAGATCAGGACAGTCTTGCCTCTGCCTGCAGTTACCTACCTGCACAGTTAGTATTTTCTGAATGCTGTCCTGGGAGTTACACTGCATGTTGGCCACCTTCCTCTTGTAATATCGGATCAACATTTGGAGGTACGTTTCCCAATCCCTGTCCTTCTTCTTGTGCAGCAGACAGTTCTAAAGGCAACAGGGAGGGGGGAAAAACACAAGTCAGGGAAGGAGAGGAAATTAATGGCACTGTTCAAGAAGAATGATGGAGGGAAATATAGAAAGCAGCCAATGGCCCATTCTGTAGTGTGCAGACCTGACAGGAATTTCACAGTCTCTTGATTTTTCAGCCCACTCATGTGCATTCATCGGAGACCAGTCACATCTGGCCGCCAGGATGGGGGGTTAATTTTCTCTAAATGCCTCAGCAGTTTTGTTCTAGCTGAAGCAAATGCTGTGACTGCAAAGCTGATGAGTAAAATATTTCTACTTCACCCAGTTTAACTCAAAACCGATAGCCTCAGGACGTATTGAACCTTTCTGTTAAAAAAAAAAAATCTTTTGAAGCCTTTTGAATGGCACATTGGGTCAAACCAAAGTTTAAAAAATGCAACCTGAAGACTTTGATGGACACTACTGCATCTTTTTCTTACTCCTAAAGCTTCCTATGGCTGACGATGTGTGCGTCAGAGCATGACAAAACCAAGGAGAATTAACTTAGCCATCAACTGTGGAGGAGAGGAAAAAAACCAGTGAGGGAATTTCCAGCTAGGACTCCGTATTAATTTGCCTCCCTCTGATCATGTGACATGGAATCATGTCAACATTAAAGTACAGAAGAGGTAATGTTTAGAAGTGACACTTTTAACTCTTGACCTACAGAGAAGAAGAGATTTTTCCTATGGGTTCTATCAAACCAGGGGAGGAAGGGATGGTTAAATATAAAATCACCACCAGCTAAAATTAGGAAAGTGACAGTTTTGCCTAGAAAACTCTTTCATCTCAACTGTTAGCATTCTGTAAGAATTACTATGATAAGTCTAGGCTGTAAAGAAATAATAAATTTAACAAAAATAACAATAAACCCCATTTACCAAAGACCCAAATAGTCACACATAATATTCTGCCACTGAGATCTCATTTGGGGTTTGCTAGCATGAATAATCACTTAGTGTGTGTTGCAAAGTCGAAAGAAACAAATCTATGGCAAACCCAAAATTTATATAAATATCCCTTCTCATCAACAACAAACATACTAAGATATGCTTGTCAGGGGATCAAAGGCACATGAATGAGACAATTCGTAAAACACTGGAGAATACCTAAATTTTAGAAATCTTTGTTATGTTTTGTTCAGTAAAACATTTTCAATAAAGTGATTTCAAATGCCTGATGTTGTCTGTAAGTTTTTATTATCAATAACCTTCTTAGGCTTTGTTACAACCTACACATGTACTCGTGTGCGTGCACACACACACACACACACACACACACACACACACACATGTTTAGGCTCACTTCACGAAAAAGAAGCCACTAATCTGCATCAATTTGTTAACTTAATACAAAAATACCTTTAAAAACATATCTCTGCTTAGCTGATAATGAACTACATAATCCAGAATAAACTTAGGGGAATGTTAGATGATTTAGGTTACTAAAAGTAAAATCAGTAAATTAAAAATTGCAATTACTTTGGAATAGAAATTCAATGAAAAAATGTCTTTTAAAAATTGCTTTTCTGGTTGGGTCAGGCACTGGTTGGAGAGATTGAGGGAAGGGCCAACCAATGACTGGCCCAATCTGAGACCCGCCCCATGGGAAAGAGCCACCCTCTGTCCCTATTAACAATACTCTGCAATGCTTGCAGATTGAAGCCTAGAATAGCTGTCCCCTGATAGGCTCCACCCAGCAGTGGAACAAATGCTGAGACCTACAGTCAAGCATTAGGTGGAGCCCAGGGAGTCTTGTGGAAGAGGCAAGGAGGAAGGATAGAAGGAACCGAAAGGAACAAGAACTCCACAAGAGGATGAATAGAGCCAACTAACCTGGGCCCAGGGTGTCTTCCATAGACTGAAGCACCAACCAAGGACCAGACATGGACTGGAAGTAGGCCCCCTACACTAGCTGAGGAACAGCTTAGTCTTCATGTGGGTCCCTTAGTATAGGGAGCAGGGGTTATCTCTGTCATGTAGTCTGTTGCCTGCTTTTCCATCACTACCGCCTGGCCGAGCTGCCTTGCCTAACCTCAGTGAAAGAGGATGCTCTCAGTCCTGATGAGATTTCATGTGCTGGGGTGGGTTGGTGACGGTAGGGGGCTTCCATTTTCTGAGGAGTAGGGAAAGGGGATAGGAAGAAGAGGAAGGAATGGTGGGGCTGGGTGGAGTGGAGGGAGCTGTGTGTAATCAGAATGTAAAGGGAATAAGTAAAAATTTCAAATTAATCAATCAATCAATCAATCAATCAATCAAATGTCCTATAGGCTTGCTTACAATAAGATCTTATGGAAGCATTTTTTCCTTGTTGAGGTTCCCACCTATCAGATGACTTATGTTAAGCTGACATAAAACTAGCAAGCACACTCTCTTTAAACAATGAACCATAAAAAAATCTTTGCTTTAAGAAAAAGAAAAAGATACCTCCAGAATATCTTTTATTGTAGAGGCTGATTAACTAGCAAAGAAACAGACTGATGGATCAACGAAATAAAATTGAAGGCCCAGAAACAAACCTACGGACACCTGATTTTTGACCGAGATGCCAAAACCATACAATGGCAAAAAGATAGCATCTTCAACAAATGGTGCTGGTCTAACTGGATGTCCACATGTAGAAAAATGCAAATAGACCTGTGTCCGTCACCCTGCACAAAATTAAAGTCCAAGTGGATCAAAGACCTCAACATAAAACCAGACACACTAAATCAGTTGGAAGAAAAAGTGGGGGAAAGCCTTGAACTCATTAGCACAGGAAACAACTTCCTGAACAGAACATCAACAGCACAGGCTCTAAGATCAATAATTAATAAAGGGGACCTCATGAAACTGAAAATATTCTGTAAAGCAAAGGACACTGTCAACAGAACAAAATGACAGCCTACAGACTGGGAAAAGATCTTAACATACCCTATATCTTACAGAGGGCTAATATCCAGAATATATAAAGAACTCGAGAAATTAGACACCAACAAATCAAATAATCCAATTAAAAAATAGGGTACAGAACTAAGCAGAAAATTCTCAACAGAGGAATATCTAATGTTGTAGAAACACTTAAAGAAACGCTCAACATTCTTAGTCCTCAAGGAAATGCAAATCGAAACTATTCCGAGATCCCATCTTACATCAATCAGAATTGCTAAGATCTAAAACTCAAGTGACAATACATGCTGGAGAGGATGTGGAGAAAGGGGAACCCTCCTCCATTGCTGGTGGGAATGCAAACTTGTACAACCACTTTGGAATCAGTCTGGCGCTTTCTCAAAATCTTGGGAGTATCACTACCTCAACATCCAGCTATACCACTCCTGGCCATGTACCCAAATGATGCCCCACAATTCAACAAGGACATTTGCTCAACCAGCATCTTTATTTGTAATAACTAGATTCTGGAAACAACCCAGATGTCCTTCAACAGAGTAATGGATACAGAAATTGTGGCACATTTACAGAGTGGAATACTACTCAGCTACTGAAAACAAGGAAATCAAGTTTGCAGGTAAATGGGTGGAACTAGAAAAGATCATCCTAAGTGAGATAACCCAGAAAAAGAAAGATAGCCATGGTATACATTCACTTACAAGCAGATATTAGCCATATGATATAGGATAGCTATACTTAAATCTATAGGCCTAAAGAAGCTAAACAATAAGGAGGATGCTCAAATCTCATTCAGAATGGCAAACAGGATAGACACCAGAAGTGGTGGAAGAGTGGGAACAGGATGGGAGCCTACTATAGAGGGTCCTTTGAAAAAAAATGCTCCATCCAACATGGGGTCTAAGCAGATACTGAAACTCACAGCCAAACTTTGGGCAGAGCACAGGGAATCTATGGAAGAAGCAGCTGATAGAAGGACATGGAGGAGACAGGAGCTCCACAAGGAGACCAACAAAGCTAAAAAAATCTTGAGCGCATGGGTTCTACAGGGACTGATGCATCAATCAAGAACCATGCATGGAGAGGACCTAGACTTCCTGCTCACATGTAGCCCACAGACAGCTCAGTTTCCCTGTGGGTTCCCCAGTAAGGGAAGCAGGGACTGCCTCTGACATGAATTTGGCTGCTTTTTCTTTGACCACTTGCCCCTGGTGGTGAAGTCTTGTCTAGACACAGAGGAAGAGGATACAGGCAGTTATGAAGAGACTTGATAAGGTAGGGGCAGGAGAACTCTCCCTTTCAGTGGACTAGGGGAAAGGGATAGGGGGAAAGAGGAAGGGAGGGTGGGACCGGGAGGAGTTGAAGGAAGGGGCTTCAGTTGGGATATATAATGAATAAATTTTAAAAAATAAATAAAAAAGAAAAAAAGAGAAAAGATTAAAATAAGAACCAGATGTGGTGGTACATGCCTGTAATTTCAGCACTCGTGGAGACAGAGGCAGGCAAATTGCTGTGAGTTCGAGCCCAGCCTGGTTTAGAAATTGAATCCAAGGCAGCCAAGACTACACAGAAAAACCCTGTCTCAAAATAAACAAACAGAAAATTGCTTTTCTGTAATATAAGCAAAGTCAGATAATTAATGGCAGGTGGTAAACTGTATGTTGATATGCTCATTACTGCATTTGGAAATTTTACTTCTCATTTGATTTGCTCATGAGTACAGGGACATTCGGATTAGAACTGTCCCTGCTGTGGCAAGGACAGGAGGAGGATCTGTTTCTTGGAGTTGTGTAGCAACAAGTTAAAGTTAGCTGTGGCCCTGTATCATTGAAGGTATGTATCAGTGACTTTAACGACTTGTCAGTTTGTATTGGCAACAATGTACCTAAAAGACTTGCATTTAAATTACAAATTACTTTGGTCAGAAACTGAACAAGAGAAACTGGACTAGAGAAACTGACTGGACCTCAGTAACAAGGAAAAAAAAAAAAAAACCTGCTGATGAAGGTTCAGGAGAATTATTATTATTTTTGGTTTTTTGAGACTCACTCTATTGATCATGCTGGTCTTAAACTTAGAGATCTACCTTCC